GAACCATCAGGAAGTCAAACCAAAACCAAAAAGCCTAATTTAAATAGTTTTTGCCTAGGCCCATTAATTCAAGTAATGAAGGGTTTTAAGAATATATTTAGGAAGAGGAACCGCTTTTGAGGGAAGCCTGAGAGCAAGAGACATTCAAAAACATTGTGATTTATGGGCATGATCCAATTCAATTAAAAACATTTATTAAGTATGTTTTACTTAAAAAGACCCAAGTACATTCTCCTCAAAAACTACCTTGTACCTATTTTGTATCTGTCTGTATGTTCAAGTTTGCATTCCTCAGTGGAATGTAAGCTCCTGGAGGGCAGGGCCTTTTCCCCATAAGTCTATGTGCCTGCCCTAGCACATAGCAAGTGGTCGTTCGATGCTTGCTAATTCGGAGTTTTGCTTAGGTAAAGGTTCTCTGAGTATCTATGCTTCTATAGCCTGCCTCTGACTAGCTGTGTGACCTTGTGACAAATTACTTCATTCTCAGAGACCCAGGCAACAACAAAACCTATGCTGCAGGGGACCTGCCAGGCTACCCAGTGGAAATAAAGTCCTAGGTCTGAACCCCTCCAAGAACTCCCCACCCTACCAAAAAAAAAAAAAATCTCCCACATTAGCCAGGTTTGGGTTATACCTATAGAGGCATTAATAAATATTGAATTAATAATTTTGACTTTCAAAAAAGGTCTTAGAAGAAAACAAAAAATAAAATAGGCCTACCTTGACAACTTGACACAGGAAGGTAGGTCTCCCTGTGATGCTGTTTCATATGATTTTATGCTTGTTTTGAATTATGACCAGAGGGAATCCACAAAGCACCCACAGCAACACCTTCTGTGATAGTCAAAAAAATAGGAAGAAAGTGGGTGCCCTTCAATGGGGGATGGCTGAACAAACTGTGGCACATATGATGGAATGTTACTGCTCCAGAAGAAACCAAGGAATTCAGAGAAATATGGCAGAACCAGAAAAAGAATACATATAATAGCTACAGTAACTTAACTGAAAAGATCCCTAAAAACTTAGCAAAGTGAATGAATATACGTGCAATCTTGGCCCCACAGAACAGATGATGAAAGGTGATGGAGGGGAGGCTGCGGACAGTGACAAAATGCAGGAATATCCATTGACTTAAGTTGGCTTCATTTAATGGGTTGTTTTGCCACAATAGTGCTCCACAGCACCTGTTTCAGCTGTGGCCCATTCTACCAGGGGAAGTCTTCACATGCTTGGGGTAGAACCCGCCCCAATTCACCAACGGGTTTGAGACCCATCGGTTACCCTCAACCTGGTTTAACCTGTCTGTTGAAATGATTTATCTGGGTGTGGCTGCTGGGCATACTAAAGCTTCAGGGAGCCACAGGTGAGCATTAGGTAGATTAGGTAGACACCAAAGGTGGAAAGCATTTCTGAAAGGGCTCAGCAGCCCTCACACCAGAGGTACTAGTCTTCCCTGAACACACCCTACACCACAATGTTTGTACATCTGACCAAGGCCTCTGATACTGTCAGTTGTGAGGCCTTATGGAAAATTATGTCAAAATTTGGTTGCCCAGAGAAGATCATCAGTATTGTACGTCAATTTCATGATGGCATGCTTGCCTGGGTTCTGGATAATGGATGATGCTCTGGTGCTTTTCCAGTCACCAACGGAGTGAAATACGGCTGTGTGCTTGCTCCCATGCTTTTTAGCCTGTTTTCAGCCATGCTGTCAAATGCCTTCAATGAGGACAAACACAGCATCAAGGTCAGCTACCACACTGATGGTAAATTCAGCTTGAAAAGGCTACAAGCCAATACCAAAATGGAGTGTTAGTGCACAATTTTTTGTTTGCAGATGACTGTGCACTCGATGCAGCCTCTGAAGCTGAGATGCACCAAAGTATGGATTGATTTTCTGCTGCTTGTGCTAATTTTGGCTTAACGATCAACACCAAGAAAACACAGGTGCTCCACCAGCCAGCACCACACCATTAATACATGGAACCATCAGTTACAGCAATTGGAGAAGTTTTGAATGCTGTGGATAAGTTTACTTACCTTGGCAATATACTTGCCAGGGATGTACACATTGATAATGAGGTTGACACATGCATTGCCAAAGCTAACTCAGTGTTTGGGAGGCTCCTCAGTGTGGGAGAGAAGAGGTATTAGACTGCCTACCAAATTGAAGGTCTGCAGAGCTGTTGTGCTGATCTTATTGGTGTATGCCTGTGAAACCTGGATACTATACCAGCGCCATGCCAGGAAACTGAATTGCTTCCATTTGAATTGTCTTAGGAAGATTCTGAAGATCACCTGGCAGGATAAAATACAGACACTGAGGGCCTTTCTGGAACTAAACTGCCAAGCATTCAAACTCTACTGCAGAGATCGCCAACTTTGATGGGCTGGCCACACTGTTCCAGTGCCAAACGTACGCTTGCCAAAAAGACTTTTATGGAGAACTCACACAGGGCAAGTGTTCAAATGGTGATCAGAAAGAGATACAAGGGGCTCAGATAATACCTCACAGACTCTCAGATTCCTTGAGTCTGGCTAATATGGTGGATCTTTAATAAACCTTGTCTTTGGCTGAAAGAAGGCTTGGGTAGAATTCTTTTGGGCAGGACCCGCGTGTCATGATCTCGGGGTCCCAGCACCCCTAAACCTCTAGATCTCATCATATGGTCCCCTGACTGGGAAAAACTGCCATACCAAGCTCTTCATCAGCCAAGACTGGAAGATACCAGATATGCATGAAACCCGAAACAATGTCACCATCTTCCTACTGTCACAATCCTCTTCCAGAATGAAGGGCAAACCACAACCTAAAAGTACCTCATGAATTGTAGAAGCCTGGAGGACTTCCCAACTTCCCATAGCTGTTTCTGGATTAGCTGAAGGCAGTGTCTGCAACAGGAGCCAAGGATGGACTGGATACAGATTCAAGGCTCTCCAAAGAGCACAACAGAAAACCTATACCATTACTTAAGAACATCTTGAGGTGTCCAATAAAATGGCTTCCAGCAGCTATGAATTATCCCTTTGTCCTACACATTCTGTAAGCTTGAGCCCACTGTCCATGGACTCTATGTATGTGAGAGTGTATCACAGACTTTGGGGGGGGTGGGTGTTTTGCACTTTTTTTTTTGCTATGCCTCCTTACTAAATACCCCTTCCTAAAAGCTAATCTAAAAAAAAAAAAGAGAGAGAGAGAGAGAGATACAAGGACACTTTCTAGGTTTCTCTTAAGAACTCTGGGATTGCATGACATGGGAGACATTGGCACAGGACTGCTCAGCATGGTGTGCCCTCATCAGAGAAGGCGCTGTGCTCTACTAGTAAAGCAGAATTGAAGTAGCTCAAAAGAGACCCCAGGTTCTCAAATTTAGAGAATCTACCCCAAATGTTCATATGGACTATTTGTGCCCCATCTGTAGCAGAACATTCAGAGCTTGTATTGGTCTGATCAGCCAGTGTGACACACTGTAACTTGACTTTAACATACTATTGTCATTTTGGTCCTCTTTTGAGAACAAAGGACCACCATTCTCTTAGGGGAAAACCAACTTTATTGCCCCCCATCCCCCTAAACATGTAAAGAACTTCTACTACAGAAACTGGTGCTCAGGGTAAAAGTTACCAGTCCAGCGGGGCACCCCACCCCCCCAAATGCTTCCCTGAGATTTTCGAAAATGTGTATGGTACTGACTCTAGGAAATCAGTAGCCTTAACCCAGCAGAAATGAGGTGTAGAGAGCTTTTCAGTGGGAGCGAAGAGGGAAGTTTAAAGGGAAAAAAAAAAGGTATTAACCCTTTCGTTTTCCTGACAAAGAAAGGAAATTGTGTTGACAAGCCCCTAATGCATCCTGGCCCAGGAATCTTCCTTGCTTCCATCACAGCAGATGGTTATGGGGGCTCTGGGGAGATGCGTATTGGGCAGCTGGGGAGGCAGCCAAGGGGAGCTCTGAGCAACAAGGACAGGAAGGCACCCGGCAGGTGCACCAGAGAGGTTTTCCAGGAAGTGTTACATTTCCTACCAACATGAAAGTCTGTGAGAGATCGGGCTCCTTTGTATATGGCAGGGCGAGAATGATTCCACTACTGGATAGTCCCTTGTTACTGATTTTGCTAGTCTGTCCTAATTAAATGCTTTGCTATTGGATTTATCATTTCTGTCTAGTCTGTAGGATCCCTAAAGTGCTAACAGCTAATACAAGTCTACAAATTCATAAATATCTCAAGAATTACAGATAAGTCAGCAGGAACATAGCAGAAGTCCCAAAAGACTAGAGCCTCTAATTACCCAAGATTCAGTGTGGAGTTTAGGAAAATCAAAATGATGAAAACACAGCCCCAACCAGTGCATTCTCTGTCAGCACCTAAGTTTGCCTTCTTGTATGGCACTATAACCAAGGGTCCTTTTCCACTACTGTGACATCTAGGTTTGTTTTAGCTAAAGGGGGCTGGGTGAGATGACCGCTGCAATTGATTCCAAGTGTGACAGTTTATGTTCTAACCTCCCTTCCAAGTTTAACACTGCAGGGTTCGATAATTATTTTCCTCCACGTCTTCATTCTCTCAAGGACCAGTCCTGACCCCTCCCTCCCTCCCCTGAAGAGACTGCCTCACTCCAACATTCTGGAACCTCTGGCTGAGCATGGAATTAACATGCCCAATCAACACATTTTTACCTCTTCTGTAGCCAGGATCATATGCCAGCCCTGAAGTTGTAGTAAAGAAATTTTCTTTTTGATTTCCCCCCAAACCCTTCATCTCATGTCATGCCCCTGGCAACTCATGTCTGAGCCGTGCTTTCAAAGGTCTCAAGGAGGCATTAAGCAACAATGGTGGTGATGAGGGGCACAGTGAGCATTCTTGGGGCTATGGTAAATGTCTCTATGCTCTTCCCCTTCTTCCACGACAGGTGCTTAATGTTTTTTGAATAAATGAGTAATTTTATCTTCCTCTAATCCTCATCTTTACCACAAAGAAATATCAAAAATTACCACAGAAAGGTTTCAAGCTTGACCTTGGAGGGTTTTTTTTTTTAATTCCATATGTCCGGCATAATTCAATTTGTTGTCATAGTTATTCCTGTGCTCAATACCTAAGCAGCCAGCATGTTTCAGAGGGAGGTTTAATTATCCCTATACAAGTGATACATCAAAGGTTGTCACTGAGAGGTCCTTGGAGTCCTTCCTGAGCATTTCACATTTGTGTTCGATCAGGATCCCCAAGAAGAGCAGTCCCCAAAAAGTCCTCCGTTCCTAGACCTGCAGCAAATGAAACCGAAACACAACAGATGACTACAGAAACACTTCCCTGAAGTGAAAGCAGACAGGAGACATCATTCTGAGAGCTGGAGGCTTAATAAGCACTAAGAGCTACAAAAAGAGCAAAACATCAGATTTGTTCAATACAAAGACACACACACACTTCCTCATGCTCAGAATGGTTCCAAAGTGGGAGGGACTGACTTGGAAGGGGATAAATGCCATGTTGGTGGATGTCTTCAAAACGAAGCTCAACAGACATCTGTCAGGATGCTTCAGACAAGGATTCTGCTCAAGATGGACCAGATAAGTTCTGAGCTTCACGGGTTCCCTGGTATGTCAGTGACTACTTCTAAACTTTTCAAAGTCTGCCTCCAAGCTAGAATCAGCGTGCACTGGTCATTAGGTGCATTGGGATCGCTATACTAGACATTCCAAAATATGGCTGCCAAGTATATTTTTGGAAATGATTTTGATAAGGTAATAGGTTTTGACAATAAACATTTCCAAATACCTCAGTTTGCTAATGATTTTCCCTCCAACACATTCCTGTTGAATAATGGATATAAGTTTTCATCTAGTTCTCACTACATCTTTGGCATTTTTCTGATGATCAACAATGATGTCCACCTGGCTGCTACATGTCTAGACAAAGGACATTAAAAATGAATGCCTACAACTTCAAGGGGTAGGTGGACAAGAAGGTATTTTCAAATCCTTTCAATGCAACAGAATTCCATTGCACCAAATGCTAGGTATAACTTATTAATACATGTGATGACTTGGTCTTTAAAAAAAAAACAACAAAACCAAAATACCCCCAAATGTTCATGTAAGCGTTGCATTTAGAGCCATCACCATGGACCACCATATACATACATTACACCAATGCCGGTGTTGCTTAAAACATTTTTTGAGCTGCTCTTTGGAAAGAGTCTTCAGAGCAAGCCATGTGTCACAGAAGAACAATCATGTTACTTTGTTACCCCAAATAGCTATTTCCAAAAATCTAATCTGTCTTCAAAGGACAATGATTTACCATCATGGGGATAATTTCAAAAAAGTGCCAAAGTTTATCAAGGCAGTTTCATCAAATGGTTTTGGAGCAACAGCAACATGGATGGAATCAGTGCATGGCCGTCAACGAGGACTGTTCTCTTTCTAGTAAAATTAAGTGCTGGCATGGTTATTCTTAAAATTAGTCTCGCTACTTTATTGTCCTACCAGGCAGTGCTTTGCTAAGACTCAGACGCCTGTGGCTAGGCAGAGATTTTTGTTTAAACATACCTGTACCTAGCTGCTAATGTTATTATAAATTGCTCTATCTCCTTTATTCTAGAACCTCAAGTGTCCAAAGAATTATTTGTAGGGTACTTAGTCCATCCTCTATTTGAGCAGGAAATTTTCTGCATGGTCATCCAGTTTCATCTTGATCATCTCTGGGGAAGGGAACTCACTTTCTTACCAGACAGTACGTTCACTTCTGGGCAGCCTTGACTGCTAAGAAGTTTCTCCTCATCTAGGTCTCCCTGTAACCCCTATCCTTGACTCTTGTTCTATCCCCTGTGGATTGAACACAACTCTAAACCAATCCTCTTCCACAGGCTTTTCAAATACTTGAAATGAACTGTCTTGGTTGTCCAAACTCTACTCTTCAAACAAGCTGAACCTCCTCAGTTCCTTTGCCATGGACTGTATGGTCTCTAGGCCATTCACTGTGCTGGTGGCCCTCTTTGGGATACACTCTACCTGGCTACTAACCTTCCTAAAACGTGGCACCCATAGCTGAACACAGATCTAGACTGGTCTGGCCAGAGAAAAAGAGGTCATATCTCTTTGTGAGGAATACTACATCTCTTAAAGCAGTCTAAAATGAACAGTCATTTTATGACTGTTTAAGAACAGTTATTGCTGTTCTCGTTTGGTGGGGGTATGGGGAAGGGATGCTGCAACATCTCTCTTATCTTACATGTTATTAAGATCCCCAAACCTTTTCCCCCACTGTTGACTGTGAACTCCTTGAGATAAGGGACTGTCTTTTGCCTTTCTCTAAACCTCCAGAGCTCCTCACAGTGCCTGGCACATAGCAGGTACTGAATAAATGCCTGTTGATTTGTTGTCTATTTTATCCATTAAATTAAACAGTGTAAAATAATACCACCACCATATGTTTATAGATGGCTTTATGGTTTTCAGAGCATTCTCACAGTTATCTCATTTAATTATCCCCAAAATTGTGTGAGATAGACAGGACCAGAATTATCCTCATTTTACACATAAGAAACAGCTCCAGAGAGGTGGGCTTACTCGCCCAAAGTCACATGCCAAATCCACTTAATTCCCTGTGCTTCACATTCTTTGTCTGTAAAATGGGAAGACTAATACTTGCACCACTGACCGCACAAGGTTGTTGTGAGGAAAGTTTTGAGGTTCTATAAATCTGAGTTATTCTTATTACTACAACTGATGCCTTCAGACTCCTCTTCAGGAGGGGGGGCCTTCCACTCTATCACGATCCTCTGCTGAGAGGCAGGTCAGAAGATAGCATGAGTTGTTCATGGTTGAGTAGCTAACCTATTCTCTTGCTTCTCCACAGACAATCTTGTTAAGAAAGCACTCTGCAAACATCTAAAGGTCAGTGTTTTTTAGACAGTTATGGGAGTCAACAGCGGCATATGGCAGGAGACAACCTCTGTTTCTAGGGCCATCTTTGAGCAGTGGGGCGGGTGTTGGGCCATAGCAGGATAGCTCACCCATCAGTGTGAGCTTTTTCCCCAAAAAGGTGCCTGTTTGGGCTGTTTAAGCTAAAGCTTAAAAACACACACACACACACACACACACACACCCTAAGTTGTTAGTAATGAGCATTATTCTTTGCAAATTATTGCTCCCTTAATATAGGACTTTCTAAGGTGAAAAAAGGTCTGTAAGAGAGTCCAGCAAGTTTGCACTGAAAACAAGGCAATGCTTTTGGAATCAAAAGACTGTGAATCCATAAAAGTGAATATATCAAATAGCACCTGATTATCTAATGAACATATCTACACATTAAATGGGCTAGAGAGACTTACCATAAGATTGAAAAGTTAGCTTAATTGTCCTTCTTAAATTTACCATTGATGTATGGCACCCAATCCAGAATCAGACGCCAGTCAGTGGCCCAAACTAGCCCCACAGCACCAACAGCACCCCATGTGCCTGCTGTGGGAAGCCTAGGGGAAGAAACAAAAGCATCAATGCATCAACTAATCAATAAATACTTACTGAATGCTTACTTCAAGAGTTACCCACTTCGAGGAACTGTGGGGGATACAGGTACAGCATAAAGAATGATCCTTGTCCTCAAGGAGCTTGTAATCAGCTTGGGGAAACAAATTTTAACAAGTCAAGCACTTTCTTCACAACAACAGTGGGGGTTGGGGTAGTGTCCAGATTATAATCCCCATGCTATAAATGTGGAAATTGAGGTTCAGAGCAGCACCTGCCCATGGTCTGAGAGACAACTTAGGACTTGAGACAAGGTTTTCTGATTCCAAATCCAGTTCCTTCCACTACCACTCCGTTACTGATTGACAACAACATGAATACCGGACAGAAAGTAATTCGGAGCTGAACTTGATAGTTCAGAATAAACTCAGGGGAAAACAAAGAAGCTGTGGGGCTCAGGAAAGGAAGTTAGCAGGCTAGGTGAAGGGGGGAGCATTGAAAGAGGTCTTTAAAAGATGAGCAGACACTCAATAGATGACAAAGAGGGAACAGGGAGACACTTAAGGCCTAGGGAAGAAAATCCACAAAATGCAAGACATTGGAGGAACAGGAACAGAGTGCACAGACAGAGATACAAGGTAAGGCCAGAAAGGCAGGTTCACGCCAGACTATAAAGGGCCCTGAATGCCAGGCAAAAGAATCTGAGCTTCACTCGGTAAACCATAAAGAATTACTACATGTTTCTGAGCAGACAAATGAGATGACCTTAAAGCTCTATATAAATGTTCACTCACTTCATCACCCTGTAAGAACTCTTGGTACTCTAGCTCACCACCGCTCTCTGTCCCTGAGTGGAGAGGGGGCCGTGAGCCCCAAACCTCCATTTAAAGAGGGGACTCAGCTTTTTCTTTTTCACCTGGTAGCAGTCTTGGGACTTCTCTAACTTTGACATCATTCCCACTTCCCACCCTCAGCTTTTCAGCTTTTTTTTGTGTTGTAAGATTGTAAGCTCTTCGAGGACAGGGGCTAGCTTTTTTCATATCTGTATTCTCATGGCTTAGCACAGTGTCTGGCACGTGGTAGGTGTTTAATAAATGTTGACTAATCATAATTATTTCAATGACCAGATATATGCACAAGGAAGATTATTCTAGGGGGTGAACTGGAGAGAGTAGAGAGAAAAGACAGGAAAAGTTGTTGCAATGAGTTCAAGTGGCTAGTAGTGAGGGCTTGTCCAGACAGACTGCATTACCCTTCTTTGAACAGGTGCCTGTTGGTTTACATCAAGGTTAACTAAAACCCTCAGGTCCTTTCTCCACAAAATGCTGCCCTTCTATGTCTCCCTTCACTGTCATATTCATATGGTTGGAGTTTTGAGCTGAACTGAAAACTGACTGGAGAAGTCACAAGGTCCAAATTTTCAAGGTTGCATGTTTAAATAGCATCAGCCCAAGTGCACTTAGTCGGCATTCATCAGCAATCCTACCCAGGACTGGTACTAATCAGTGGTGCTGTGCCATATGCTGCTTCATCAACTCTTCTTTGCATTAAACAGAATATGTAAACAGTAATTACTCACCCAAAAAAGACAAAAAACTAAAGACAGAGAGGTGGTGAGTCAAAGATGTAAAGGCTGAGAGTAGAGGCAAATCTAAAGAATGAGAAACAGCAGCCACCTGAGAGGCGGTGAGCTCTAGTGGAAAGAACACTTGATGTGAAGAGAGAACACCTGGGGTTTGTTGGAGTCCAAGCTCCGAAGGAACATCAAATCTGGAGCCAGCAGACGAGACTCTGCACCCTGGCTCTGACACAAGAGTCATGCAACCATGGGCACCCCTTCTGGCCTCAGTCTTATCATCTATAAACACTGCTTACACGAACCTACCTCACAGGGTTCTTCAAAGAAAAGAGCTGCAAACACTAAAGGCCCAGAGAAAAGGCATTATTGGGTGGGGAGATAAAGCTGTAACACAAACTACATTGTGGGAAGAAGGGAAGGAGAAAAGAGACTGTTCCCCCGTTGCTTACAGGATAAAGTCCAAACTACTCTGACTAGCATAAGAGGTCTTCTAAAATCCGGGCCCAACCTTTCTCTCTAGCTGGTATCCCACCATTCCCAACACGCACCCTTACTGCTCAGAAGATATGGCCTCTTCTTTGTCATGGAATACACCTTCTGTTTTCTTCTCAAGATCCTCCACTTGCTCTAGACTTCCTTCTGGAAGCGCAACTCAATCCTATCTTCTTCCTGACCACAGTGGCCTCTCAAGTCCCTTGACTAATAACAATAATGATAATAATACTATTTAAATAACAATTCGTATTTATACAGAATTTTAAGGATGACAAAATGCTTCCCTCTCAAAAAGGCTACTGTATCCATATTACAGATGTGGAAGACTCTCAAGAGCTTAAGTGACTTGTCCACATTCAAAACTAAATAGCGTCACAATCTGAAAACAGGTCCCAGAGTCCAACTTCAGCCCTTCTTATACTGTATAACTCTAATTCCTGTTCAAACACTCAAAGACAAAATCGTACACAACACTAGCTTCCTAGCTGTCTAGCATCTTTTTCCCCCCTTCTTTTTTCCTTTTTGGTGAGGCAATGGGGGTTAAATGACTTGCCCAGGGTCACACAGCTAGTTAAGTGTCTAGTGTCTGAGGCCGCATTTGAACTCAGGTCCTCCTGACTCCAAAGCCGGGGTTCTATCCACTGTGCCACCTAGCTGCCCCATCTAGCATCTTCTTGCTCCCCAGCTAGACTGGAAGTTGCTGAAAGATAGGGAACATGCCTTATATTCTCCGAAATTCCCACAGCGCCTCAAACGGTACTGAGCACATTCAAATCCACAAACATTTTCAGGCACCATATGTCAGGTACCGTATTTGGTACTGGCTACCAAAGATGAAAGATGAAAAATGACACCACCTAAGCCTTTGGGGGTTCACAATCTGATGGGAACTCCAACTCCCACACAAACATGTACAACACAAGGAGCATGTGACAGGGCTGTCCAAAACAAGGACAGGAAGTGGCCGGAGGAACCCCTCTTCCTCCAGCTTGGGTAGGGACAGGTGAGGAGGCCTGCTTAAGGCCAAAGTGAGAGGGCCTGACGGTCTCCAGTGCTTCTGCCTTCTGTCCTTTCCACTCTCAAATGGAGGCCTTACTGAACAAATTGTTGTATATGAATGTAATGGAATACTATTGTGCTCTAAGAAATGGTGACTAGGCAGATTTCAGAAAAACCTGGAAAGACTTACATGAACAGAGGCTGAGTGAAGTGAGCAGAACCGGGAGAACATCGTACACAATAACAGCAACACTGTGTGATGGTTAACTACAACAGACTTGGCTTTTCACAGCAATACAATGATTCAAGACAGTTCCAAAAGACTCATGACAGAAAATGCTATCCACATCCAGAGAAAGAACTATGGAGTCTGAATGCAGATCAAAGCATACTATTTTCACACTTTCCAATGTGGAAATCTGTTTAATATGATTTCACATGCATAGCCTATATCAGATTGCTTGCTGTCTTGGGGAAGGGGGAGGGGAAGATGTAGGGAGGAAATAATTTGGAACTTAAAATCTTATAAAAGTGAATGCTGCAAACTAAAATAATAAATGAAGGGCAATTTAAAATAAATTAATTAATGGAGGCCTTAGGCTAGTGGATCTCTAAGGGTGAGGATAACCAGGTGCCACAAGGTTCCTCCTGGCAATAGCATCCTAGGATTCCTTGCTGCTCCATTATTTTGTGATTAATTTATGAAAACGAATTAGTGTGTTTTATCCAGACCCAGGGCTTGAATGGAATCTGGTCCAAGAATGAAGGGCTGAATTCCTTTGTTGTAGAATTCATTCCTGATTTTGTCCTTGATCACATATATAACCCTGGAGTATGACAACATACCCAGGACTCCTGGGTTCTCTGGATTTTAGAACTACTTCCTCAAAACCCACTCACATAACCACTATGTTCTCTGAAGCTGAACATTTTGTCTAGAAAGGAAGGAAAAAAATTCTATTTGAAAGATTTGATGCCAGAGGAAGGGACAAAAAGCAAGGGAAAGATAGGTTCTATGAAGGAAAGGATGCAGTTTTATGGAGAAAGAATGGAGAGGAGGGACAAGTCAATGGTAAGGGGAGGAAGGGTGTTTATGAAGGAAGGGTTTGGAGAGCCTTTGGAGAGAAAGGGCAAGGGACTATGGATAGCTCAAAGAGGGAAAAGTTCTATGAAAAAGAAAAGGGTGAAATCTATGGAGGGGAATGTTCTAAAAAGAAAGTTCTATAATGGGCAAGGTCTACGCTCAGCCAATTCTCAGCCTTGGATCACCATTCATCACCTTCTCACTTACACATGTGCTGCTAAACAAAGCAGAGAAAATGACACAACTACGTTACACAAGCACGTTATACTGGGCTCTCATTGCTGCTAGACAATCCTTCTACAGCGCTCTCGTCAACTCATTCATCCAAACCTTTTCATCCCAGATCAAACCTCACATGGCTCCTCTTCTTCCTACTCTTTCAGCCGAGAACTTGGCTTCATATTTCATGGAAAAAAACTGTGATTTACTAAGAGCTCCCTCTTCTCTCCTCTTCCCTATCTCCTACTATGTGGGTGCCTTTGGCCCCATTCTTCTCCTTCACCCATCTCACAAAATAAAGTGGCCTTATTCCTGACCAAGGCTTAACTCTTCTACTTGTACAAGTGATGCCATTCCATCCTGTCTCCTGTAATAGAGTGCCCCCTCTGTCATCCCCACTTTCACTTATTTTTAATCTGTCTACTGGCTCATTTCCTACTGCCTACAAACATGCCCATGTCTCTCCTCCAACCTCAGAAAACCTTCACTTGATCCTTCTATCCTTGCTAACTATCATCCTATATCTCTTCTGCCCTTTGTGGCTAAACTCCTTGAGAAGATCGTCTACAATAGGTGCCCCCACTTCGCTCCTCTCCTCTCTTCTGCTTCTGACTTTATTACTCCACCTAAACTGCTTCTCTCCAAATTACTAGTGATCTCTTAGTTGCCAAATCCAATAGCCTTTTCTCAATCCTCATTCTCTCTGACCTGCTCTGCATCCTTTGATACTGTTGATCACTCTATCATCCTCCATACTCTCTTCTCTCTAGGTTTTTGGGATACCACTCTCTACTGGTTCCTCCTACCTTCCTGACTGTTCCTTGTCTGTCTCTTTTGTGGGTCTGTTTGTTTTTTTGGTGAGGCAATTGGAGTTAAGTGACTTACCCAGAGTCACACAGCTACCAAGTGTCAAGTGTCTGAGGCGGCCGGATTTGAACTCAGGTCCTCCTGACTCCAAGGCCGGAGCTCTATTATCTGTCTCTTTTGCTGGATCCTCTTCCAGATCACACTCTCTTAACTGCAGGCATCCCTCAGAGTTCTGTCCGGGGCCCTTTTCTTTTCTCCCTTTAAACCACTTTACTTGGTAATCTCATCAGCTCCTAACGATTTAATTACCATCTCTACCTTGATGATTCTCAAATCTACCTACCCTGCTCCATTTCCAAGTGCCTTTCAGACAGCTCAAAGGCGATGTCTAGTAGACATTTTAAACTCACTATGTCTAAAACAGAACTCAAGATCTTTTCCCCCAACCTTCACCACCTTCCCTATTACTGTAGAGAGCAATACCATCTTCCAGTGAAGGCCTGTCAAATTCATCTTTGCAACATCTCGTGAATACACCCTATTCTCTCCTCTGACACTGCTACCACTCTACTGAAGGACCTCATCAACCTACTCCTGGATTAGTGCAATGCATGCTGGAGGGTCTGCCTGCCTCAAGTCTCTCCCCACTGCAATCCATACTCCATTCAGTCGTTAAAGTGACCTTCCTAAATGGAAGGTTCATTCATGTCACTCCCTTACTCAATAAACTCCAGTGGCTCCCTATTGCCTCCAGGATCAAATATAAAATGCTCTGTTTAGCATTTAAAAGCTTTCATAATCTAGTCCTCTCCTGCCTTTCCAGTCTTCCTACACCTTACTTATGGATGCATAATCTTTGACTCGGTGAAACTAGGTTCCTGGCTGTCCCATGAATAAAACACTATCTCTCAGCTCAGAGATTCTCCCCCCTCTGCCCCAACCCAACTACTGACCTCCATGGCTTTTTTAAAATCCCGACTAAAATCCCATCTTCTACACCAAACCTTCCCTAACCCCTCTTAATTCCAGTACCTTCCCTCTCTTAATTATCTCCTATTTATCCTGTATATAGCTTGCTTTGTATATATTTCTTTGCATGTTGCCTCCCCCATTAGACTGTAAGCTCCTTGAGGGCAGGAATTGTCTTTTGCCTTTTTGGATCCTCAATGATTAGCACAGTGCCTGGCACATAGTAGGGGCTTAATAAATGGTTGCGAGTTGATTAGACTTCAATTCAATTCAATATTTATTAAGTCACAGTGCATGAAAAACCATCCCTGCTCTCAGGGAACATACATTTTACTGGGTGATACAACGCGTAATAATAGTTTAGTTTAGTCTACAGAAGTAGACAAAGCAAACACAAGATAATCTGATGCCAGGAAAATGCATTTAAAATTTCCAGAATTGGGAAAGACTCTTTTATTTATTTATTTATTTATTTTATTTTATTTTTTTTTGGTGAGGCAATTGGGGTTAAGTGACTTGCTCAGGGTCACACAGTTAGTAAGTGTCAAGTGTCTGAGGCCGCATTTGAACTCAGGTCCTCTTGACTCCACGGCCAGAGCCTTATCCACTGCACCACCTAGCTGCCCCCGAAAGACTCTTTTAGAAAAGAGCCCCTGAGACGTCCCTTGAAGGAAACTAAGTATTCTAAAAGGCAAAGGCATACTGGCACATTTCAAGCATGGAAGACAGCCTGTACATGAAGAGGGGAATTAGCAGATCAACAAGTGGTCAGTTTAGTTGGAACTAGAAAAGTAGGCTGGAGCCAGACTGTTCAGGCTTTTAAAGTTGAAACGTTTACATTTTGAACTAGAGGGAGTAAAAAGCCATTCAAGATTCTTGAACAGATAACAGACCTCGTGGAGCCAGAAAGGTCTTTAAACGCCACATGATCCAAGCCCTTCATTTTACAGGTGAGGAAAACAAGGCCCAAAGAAGTTAGCTGATTGGCCTACTCAGTAGAGTGACACAGTCAGCCATGACCACGTTTTAGGAAGGTAATTTTGACAGTAGTGTAGAAGATGGATTTGGACATAGTAGAGACCTGAAGCAGGGAGAACAAGGTAGCTTTTTAAAGAGCAATGACAAGGGACTGAATTAGGGTAATGAGCCTGTGAATAGAGAAACTGCATGAGACATTATAGACTCAATAAGACTTCAAAATTAATATAAAAGAAGAATTCAGAATAACTGGAAGGGTGGGATTAACCTTATGGGGTTAACGGAGACCCTTAAAGGGAAATCTGAAGGCAAAACTGTTTTGGATATGAGAAGTTTTGAGATGTTATAGAACAGTGGTGTCAAACTCAAATAGAAAGATATCCCTGTGGATTACATATTGACTTAGAAAACCACAAACTAACATTATCTATGTTTCACTGTATTTTGAAATCTATTTTGTTTACAATTTAATTACAATTTAATCTGATTCTGGCTTTACTGGGAGTTCTGTGTATGTCTGCTGGCCTTGAGTTTGATACCTCTGCTATAGGATATAAATGATGGTGATATCCACCAAGTAGTTTGGTGATGGAGGACTCTAATCTTCAAGGAAATCAATCAAGGCTGAATATAATATTTAGGAGTCACCTACAAAGAGATAACTGAATCTATTCTATCTGATGAAAGGGTTGGGAGTATATGGAGGTGAGAGGAATGTTTTATGAAGGCTAAAGAATGGGGTCTATGTAAGGAGGAACCTAGGTCACTGAATAGGAAAGGGACTGTTCCAAGGGAAGAAGAGTCCTGTGAAGGTAGAAAGTCATCAAATATTAAGGCGGGAGGGAGATAGAATCTCCAGCTTCATTTGAATCTCAGCTCCAGGATCACCTCCTACAAGAAGCCTTTCAAATAACTATTTCTGGGCCTTCCCTCACCCCAAAGCACCCCAAAGTCTCCTTCTCACCTCCTAAAAAGGCTTTGCATTTACTCTGCATATATTTTGCATTTTCTTTTCTGTCTGTGTATCTCCCTGCGCACAGCTTAGCATATCATCAGGTGCTTCCTCAGTGCTCTGGGAATGAATAGACTAAGAGCAATCTATGAAGGGCCATCAATGGAGTTTTCAGAGGGGCAGAGAGAGTCCTATCAAGATGGAAAGGTAGGGTCAAAAGAGGGGAAGGGAAAATTCTGAAGGAAAAGGATGCTATGAAGAGAAGATAATGAGGGAGGGGAAAGTTCTAAAGAGGGTTAGGGTACTATTGAGGTGTTGAGGTAGGATCAAAATAACAAGGTTGACAGATAGACGAACGGTCCTGGAGTCAGGAAGACCTGAGTTCAAATCCCACCTTAGACACCTGCTAGCTGTGTGACCGTGGGCAAGTCACTTAACCCTGTTTGCCTCAGTTTCCTCATCTGTAAAATGGGCTGGAGAAGGAAATGGCAAATCATTTCAATATCTCTGCCGAGAAAACCCCAAATGGGGTCATAACTCAGAATGACTGAAAAAAAAACTGAACATTTTGTGAATAGAAATTAATGAGGGAGGGAAAGAGTTAGTGGGGAGGGAGGAGGAAAGAGAGTTAGCAAAAGCAATTAGTAGAGTCAACAACGGGGAGAAGGGTTGAGGGCCGGGGTGAGAGGAGGGTTCCAAGGGAGGGTTGTTACCTGGAGAGGAAAAGATCTAAGTCAGGGAGGGCCTCCAGAGAGAAGAGGGTGGGGACTGGGGAAGGGAGAAGGGGAGAAGAAACTGGAGCAGGGGAGGAGGAGAATAAGGGAGGAGAATGAGTGACGGAGAAGGGGGCGAAGGAGAAGGGGGGAGGGGAAGGAGAAGGGGGGAGGGGAAGAAGGGGGAGGGGAAGGAGAAGGGGGGAGGGGAAGGAGAAGGGGGGGAGGGGGAGGAGAAGGGGGGGAGGGGAAGGAGAAGGGGGGAGGGGAAGGAGAAGGGGGGGAGGGGAAGGAGAAGGGGGGGAGGGTCGCTCCACCGGGAGAGACGCCACCGAGCAGGGGCTGCCCGGGGCGGAGGCCGTGGTGGAAGGAATCCTGCCCCTGGGTGGGCTCGGGACGGGGCTTCCTCACCAGTACTTCACCAGCTCCTTGTAGCGCGGCCCCAGCAACTTGTTCAGCATCGCTGCCCCGCTCACCTCAGCGCTCGGCCCGCTCGTTAGCCTTTCAGTGGGTCCGCCTCAGGGTCACCTCGGCCCTCAGCGACAGGAAGCACTGCGCAGGCGCCGACCAGGACCCCGACGCCGAGGCTGCCCTGGCACCGCCTGTCCGCTCAACGGTTAACGGACGCCTGCGTCTGTTGAATGCATAGCATCTCAGGGTCACCTCTGACCCCGTGCACCGAACACTGCGCAGGCGCACCAGAAGTCCCCGCTTTGGGTCCTCGCCTGGCTGCACGCGCACCTTCGTTGGGGCGTTAAAAAAAAAAGTTAGCTCCAAAACTTTATTTAGAGTAACTAAAAGGATAAAGACGAAAAGCCGAGTGCCAGGGATGAGGAGAGGGAGAGGGATAGGGGGAGGAAGACCCTCCCTGCCCCCTCCTCTGACGTCAGAGGCAGATTGGTCGCTAGCGCTCCCTGCCGGTAGCTCTTTGGAACTCCAGTGAGGTTGCCACGTGATTCCCCTCTTGATACCCAGCTCATGGAAAGAAATCTGATCTGATGAGGAGTGGGCTGGAGTCAGGGAAGCCCAGTGTCACATCTGACACTAACTAGCTCTGTGACCCTGGGCAAGTCACTTGACATCCCTCAGTCTCAGTTTCATCATCTGTAAAATGGAGATAATAATAGCATCTATACCCCAGGATTGTTGCAAGGCTCAAATAAGATTTTTATAAAGCTCTCTGCAAAATTTAAAGCACAATATAAATTTATTACACCATCATGTATAACATTATATAGAATATCATCTATCGTGAGAAGACCTGTCCTTGTGGGACTTCTCTGATTGTGGGACTTGAACAGAGTAGGTACTTAATAAATTTTTGTTGAATTTAGAATTGCTGTAGGGGCCAGAACTGGATGGATCCTAAGAGGCCATCTGGTCCCTCCAACACTCCCAACCCCATTTTACAGGTGGGGAAACTGAGACCTAGGAAGGGCAAAGGAATTTGACAGAAAGAGTTAGTGGCAGAGCTGAGATTAAAACCCAGGTCTCCTGACTACAAATCTGGCACAATTTCCCCTGCTGCCTCCTACAAAATAAGAGGCAAAAATCATTCAATCTTTGAGATGTGACAGGTTGTTGTCTCTACTCCATGTTTTCAACGCCTCCTGCAACAAGTGGTCAGCCACCACATGTACAAAAATATTTACAGCAGCTCTTTTTGTGGTGGCAAAGAATTGTCAATTAAGGGAATGCTCAACAATTGGGGAATGGCTGAACAAGTTGTGGTATAAGAATGTAATGGAATACTATTGTGCTGTAAGAAATGATGAACAGGCTGACTTCAGAAAAACCTGGAAAGACTTATATGGACTGATGCTGAGTGAAGTGAGCAGAACCAGGAGAGCCTTGTGCCTCAGACACTTGTACACAGTAACAGCCACTTTGTGCAATGACTGACTTTGATAAACTTAACCCTTCTCAGCGATACAAGGATCTAAGACATCTCCAAAAGTGTCATGATGGAAAATGCTATCCATATCCAAAGAAAGAACTATGGAGTTTGAATGTAGATCGAAGCATACTATTTGCTATTTTTTTTCTTCTGTTGTGTTTTGTTTCCTCTTTCTGATGGTTCTTCCTGTTGGTTCTAATTCTTACCTACAACATCACTAATGTGAAAATATGTTTAATAGAAATGTGTATGTATAGCCTATATCAGATTGTATGCTGTCTTGGGGAGGGAGGGGGAGAAAAATTTAAAACTCAAAAGCTTATGGAAGTGATTGTTGATAATTCAAAATAAATTTAATTAATAAAAAAAATGGTCAGCCAGTTTCCACTTGACGATCTTCAGTAATTAGAATTCAGTAATTCATGAATGAAAGAATTTATTTTTTAATTAAGTGCTGAGTGCCAAGTGCTAGGCTAAGTGCAATGGATACAAATACAAAAGCAAAAGCATTTCCTGCCTCCAATGAGTTTACATTCTAATAGCAGGAGACATAGAGCTTAAATCCCACAAAGCCTTTCTCTGTCCCCCCTGAACCTTCTAGGTTCAGTTCTATCTACAGGACTTGCCTTGCCTGTGACATACCACCTCCCTCCAGGCACTCTCTCCAAGGCTAAAAGGCTTGTCTTGCACCCTCCACACCCTGTCCACCTATCCAGTCACAGGCAAAACCCTTGTGGACAACAATAACATACCTGAACTAATTCTTCAATGATTAACATACTTCTACCTGGTCACACTACCGCATCTAAGTGATTCTGCACTGGGGTGAGGATGGGGGAACCATTGTTCAAGCCCCAAATCACTCGCTGGTCCATATGGGGAGTTGGAATATTTCTTGCTCCCCATTGCCACTTTTAGGCTCCCTCAGTAATCACTGTCACTCAGTAATCTCTCCTCCTTTAAAGTTCATTCAATCCCTATTTATCTCACAATCATGAATGGTAGCTGTTGTCCAAGATACTGAAGGACGCTCTTCTTCTTTCCTCGATGAGTTTATGCCTAGCTCATGGTCCTTCTCTCCCCCCAAACTCCTGCCCACATGCCAGAGGGATTTCAGAGTACATATTGATACCCCCTCAAATACCCTAACCTCCTAGTTCTTCAACTTGCACATTTCTTATAGCCTACTCCTCCATTCCACCCTAGCTACACATAGACATAGTTATATTCTTCTTCTTTGCCATCACTCAGAAGTGTTTCACATCCATTTTCACGAACTCAGAAATTCTTTTATCTCAACATAATCTGTTGTTCCAGCCCTCCTTCTGCCTTGAAGCCTTAACCTTATTCTTCTAAACCTCTATCTCCAATCCCTCCACTCCTTCATTTTTTTTCCCCCAGGCCATACCCTTGCACTGGTTATATTCTCCTCCTTTTCCCATCTTGATCCTTTGGTGAACCCAGTGCACCTCTTGGTCACTGTCATCTTCTCTCACGTCCTCAGCCTCTTTATTCTAGCAAAAACCTTGCCCAGCCAAATTCCAACCTTGGATTACTCCCACCATCTGCTGTCTTTGCTCCTATTCATATGGTGCTGAATTAAGCTGGTGAAATTCACAAAACCCTGCTGACTGGGTCCACTTCAAACTCATGTTACATTATCTCAATTGGGCCCTCACTACAGCAAGGTAGTCCTTTTGTATCTTCCTGATTGCTAGGTGGTCCAGTGGGTAGAGTGCTGGGTCTAGAGTCAAGAGGACTCATCTTTGTGAGTTCAAATCTGGCCTCAGACACTTACTAAATGTGTGACCCTGGGCAAGTCACCTAACCCTGTTTGCCTCAGTTCTTCATCTATTAAATGACCTGGAGAAGGAAATGGCAAACCACTCCAGTATCTTTGCCAAAACAAACAAACCAACCCAAAAAAACAAAACCCAACCTAAATGGAATCATGAAGAGTCATTCACAACTGAAAAAATGAATTAACAAAGGTCTGGCTTTTAAAGCCCTTTATAACCTGGACCCCTTCTATCTTTCCATTCTTCCTACATGTTAGACTCCTCACCTCTACGTTTTAGTCTAGGGACACCAGCCAGTGAGGTTGTTCCTCACATGACACTCCATCTCTAGGCTTTGGGCATTTTCTCTAACTGTCCTCCATCCTCAGATCTCTCTCCCTTCTCATCTCTGCTTCCTGGTTTCATTGGCTTCATTCAAATCCATGCTAACTTCCTACCTTCTACAAGAAGCCTTCCACAGTCCTCCTTAATCTTCATGCCTTCCCTCAGAGACTACCCCCAATTTATCCTTCAGATATCTTATTGATACACAGCCAGCATTGCATTTACTCATCTGGGCCAGAACACTTAAAAACATCAGGATGGGTTTGACAAAAATGCTGGGGAGATTCAGAAGCTGGTAGACAAAAAACAAGAACTCCATAGGGTTTACCAGCAGGATAATTCATCCATCTCTAAGAAGGCAGTGTTTAACTCCATCAAAAGCAAAGTGCAAGCAAAGCGTAGAGATATGCAGGATTCTTAGCTTAATAAGAAGGCAGATGAAATTTATTTTTACACACATAGTAACAATCCAAAGCACTTTTGCGATGCCCTGAAGGCTATTTATGGGCCAAAGGCCTACGGTGCATCTTAACCACTCAGTGATGATAGAGCCTCATTGATTAGTGATAAGGACACAATCCTGGAGAGATGGGCTGAACACTTCCATAGTGTTCTCAACAGACCCTCATCAATCAATGCTGAAGACAGTGACTGTATACCTCAGGTTGAAGTCAATCCCTCTCTAGCCAGAATTCCAACTGAAGAAGAGGTTTGGAATGCCATTAGCTCTTCTTATGTGGTAAATCTCCTGGTACTGATTCTATTCCAACTGAGATCTACAAGGCAGGGGGTCCACTGCTCATACCAAAGCTTGCTGAAATCTTCCAGGTTACATGGCAAGAGGAGGTTATCCCCCAGGAGTTCAAGGATGCCTTTATTGTCCATCTCTATGAAGGAAAAGGAAATAGGTTGTCCTATGACAATCACAGGGGGGTTTCTCTCTTAGTCACTTCTGGCCAGATTCTTGCCAGAATCCTCCTTAATAGGCTGATCCTTCACCTGAAAGATGGTCATCTACTCAAGAGCCAGTATGGCTTCAGAAAGGGTTGAGGAATGATCAACATGGTACTTGCTACCTGACAACTCCAGGAGAAATTCCAGGAGCAGAACGGAGGTCTGGACACAACATTCAACAGTCTGACCAAAGCCTTTGGTATTGTCAGTTGTGAGGGCTCCTGGAAGATCATGGTAAAGTCTGGTTGCCTGGAGAAGTTCATCAGCGTTGTATGACAGTTCCACAATTGCATGCTTGCATGGGTTCCGGATAATGGACGATGCTCTTGTGCTTTCCCTGTCACCAATGGAGTGAAGCAGAACTGTGTGCTTGTTCCCATGCTTTTTAGCATGATGTTTTCATCAGTGTTGTCAAACAGCTTCAATGAGGATGAAAACAGCATCAAGGTCAGCTACTACATTGATGGTAAATTATTTAACTTGAAAAGGCTACAAGCCAAGACTAAAGTGGAGGTAGAGCTGGTGCATGACTTTTTGTTCTCAGATGATCATGCACTCAATGCTGGGTTGCAACAAAGCATGAATT